AAGTTTATGGAGCATAAATAACTCCCGTGATGACTACAATATTCTCCGTGTTCCTTATCAATGCCCTTAGGACCTCAGTAGCTCGGTACAAACTTAATTTTTTAAACCTTTTCTCATGTGACTGGAAAGTTGATTTACGAAACTGCTTTAAAGCAAAGTAAAGACTCTCGTCGGTCTCTGACCTATCAGGTTTTTGCAACTTCAAGGTTTGTTTGGGGCTCCGAATTGCAGAGGTATCTGCTGCAATAGCAAGGCAGCAGAGAGAGGATAAACGACATAATTTAGCTTGAAGCCAGAATGGTTTGTTATTTAGTGGGATAAAGAACTGAGTCATCATTTTATTTTCTACTTTTATAGCTTTTCATATGTAAATTAAATGTATTCCAATGGTAGTCCAAAAGAAAAATAACTCATGAAAACACCCAACGTCTGCATCTGATGGTTACTGAGACTCTCATCTGGAAAATAATGCATATAGATATTTATATATTTAGGATCATTCTTCTGAGTATTATCAGAAGCTGATATGTTTGATAACTTTGAATCTGATTCGTAAAACATGCAAGTGCATGTGCTTACATTAGTTCTTCTTCAGGAAGGAATATATTTGTGTACATCGCTCCATGCATATGTCAACTAGGATACCGTGGCCTCCAATCCACGGTTAAGTTGCTTGCACTCATTTTAGTAAAGCTGGTGTTTTACATAAATCCCCGGTGGTTCTCCAGTGGCTTCAGTAGGTCTGAAGCCCTCGAATGCCTGACCCAAGTGCAAGGTACTCGGGTCCACAGGGATCCGCTGTGCTGACTGCGCCGGGCTTGGGCTTATACCCTGGTGCGCGGCAGTGATTACGTGCAGGGTGAGATCTGTCAAGTCATGATAGTCCTTGGTCCTGGATTTTGCTGCCTAGGTGATCATTTAAGCAATAAGAAAGATAGTCTGGGGGGAATGCTGCAAATGAGGGGAGTTAATGGCCTGGAGCACGGTTAGGGGACCCTCGATGATCATTCATCTTGGCCATCAAGTGTACTGCTGCTGTCACGTGCTGAAGATAGGGGTCAGGAGGAAGGAGGGTCTACATATCTGTATGAATATCCATCCCTTGGGGCACCTAGACTTTATACAGCTCAAATAACGATGCACATTAAATTGTAAAGTACAATTCCCACCCTGTAAATCATCCCGCTTTCTTCAGCGTAGCACAGCGTTCGGCTAGCAGTGCCACTCGCCCTCAGGAGTTAGCTGCTGCTCCCCACCCCCTTGGCCCGAAATGGCCTGTATCGGTTGAGCTCAGGCAACAGCACCCACCAACGCCTCGCCGAGTCGGAGCCTTTGCCTCCTCAGGCGAGTTAACTTTACCCCAATCCAATGCAATGCAACTTAAACATCAGGGATGCTTAGCAAAACTGCTGAGGGAAAGCCAAAGTCCGCCGTGTTGGTGACCAGGAGGGAAACACCCCAAGCACATGCATGATCGTATCTTCATGCAAAAATCCACTCGCTCGGTGGAGTCACGATAAACAGGAATATTTCCCTCTGCTCTCCGCTGAAACACCTTGCTGCCCTGAGATGGTCCGCACACACGCAGAGGCAAAGCAAACAGAAATGAGCCACGGACGCTCCGCTTTCAGACCTAGCTGGGGCAACACCGTAACGCGTTACAGCCCCTTCGCTGGCAGTTGCCGCCTCTACCTGCAGAATGAGATACATGAGCACATCCCAGGCCACCTCTGGACCAGCCTGGTTTGCACGGCCCAGCCCTGCTGGTGGTTGACACCAACCAGGCACTGGTTGGCATCTGCTGGAGCAGATGATGGTCTGGCTGCTTGCCATGGGCCCTGCAACCTCCCGCAGCGGGCAAGCACCAAGCAGCAAGAGAGGCAGGAGGGAAGGCACCTGCATGTTGAGCTCTACCAGGCGTTCGCAGGACGAGCACACGACAAAGGCCGTCTGGGCAGCGATACCAAGCACCTTCACGGCTCCTGCTGTAGGTGCCTGCGGCCCACGATGGACAGCCAGGCTGCCCATGCAATGCGTGGGGAACATCGTGGGCCTCGCAGCAGCAGCTCGACATTAGGGACACTACCAGAAAGGATGGCTGCGTCGGACAGTAGAAAAAATTGTGGACAAAGTGCATCTGGAAAAAACGCTTGCTTAAAAAGCTCCCTTTGAGCTGTAATGAAATGCTCACATTGGGCTCAGGTTCATCTAACAGTCGGTCAGATCAGCTAGGACGAGGCCGGCAGCCACATGGACACGAGAGCAGAGGAACCTACAGTGAGGCTGACTGTAGCCTGTGTGGCAAGTCACCCAAGAGGGACCGGAGGACATTCATCTTGCTTCAGAAGAGCACAAGTGTTTGGCTTCTGTCTAACAGCTCATAGGGAGGGATGTTTGTACAGAACGTGAGAGCGAGGGCCATGCCATGCTTAGCCTCAGCGGAGGCATTCAGTCCACATTTCTCGCTTCAAAAGCATGCCCCGGGCACTGGGACATCTGCTAATGCGGGTGAGGGTTACCCTTCACACCTGCCATCCAGGCTTCTGCACAGCAACAAGTGGTGCAAGACTCAAGGGCTACAGAAAGCCTGAACAGCCAAAGGTGCTCGGAGGCGGGCAGCACGGGGCTCCCGCCCTCGCCCCCATTCCTGGTTATACATCTTATCCAGCATTTGACTGATGGGAGCTGCTCCCGGGCAGCCCGCTTGCTGGCTTGTCCTTTGGGAAGACAAATCTTGTCATTTCTGAACGTATACCGAATGATAAGTTTATTAATGAGGGCTCCCCTCCCACAAGCCCTTGCACATGAGTAACCCCAGAGGAACGAGGCCTAATGACTTACCTATGAAAAGCCACCGATCTGCCTAGGTGCTTCTGGCGTGGGGGCTTTCCTGGCCGTAAGTGCCGACGTTCAACACGCCTCAGTTCAGTAAACGCGCTGAAGTGAACTGAGCCCTTTTTTGGCTGTCCTGATAACAGAGTTTCATGCTGCTGAATCATCTCGTACATCCAATTTGCCAACCCTCACCTGGAAAAAGAGCCAATTCCCGGGTGCTCACAAGGCTCAACTTGTATATGAAGAGCATCGGCTCTGAGGCAAAGATCCTTTTTTACCGACAAGAGGTGGAAGCCAGGGTCCTAATTCATATTATATGTGTGTTGAGTTATTTCTACAGACTGTGAAACGAAAGAATTTGCCGGGATCCATTTCTGAATAAAGCATCTGAAAGCAATTTAAGAGAGAACTTTTTCATCTCTTTTCAAAAGAGGAACAGACACTACAAAGCGCCTTTTCCCACTGCCAAATAATCTCATATCATTCCCACTGGCATAAGCGGGAGTTAATGCATAAGCACCCCTGACATAATTATGACTGAGAGAACAGACCCCCTTCATTTCCTTAAGTAATGTCTCCATAGAGTAGAAAATCACCATTAGAAACATATTGTTTTTAATGTTCATGCAAATCGCTCAGCAATAAGGCATTACAAGGCTTAGAATTGGAGGCCTTGTCATCACGCATTTCTTGCAATGAATAGTATATAAATAATGTCTTTTGGGGTTTAGTAATGGTCACCGGGCTGTGGAGAGAGCCGAAGATAATGCTGCTGTGGCAAAGCCTCTGCTGGCGCAGCCCGTGCCAGGGGCCGTTGCTGAGGATGCGCAGCCCTGTCAGCGCTCTCCGGAGGGGCCCACTTCGATCCTTATCCAAAAGGCCATTTCTTTGAAAATATTGATCAAATAGACGTGCTCTTGCCATCTGAGTGCAGTAATGAATGCTCCTAACCACCATCCAGAGAAGCACCTCTGACTGCAGCATTGCCTCGGTTTAATAGCAAAGGAGTCTTCACTTGGGGACAAAAAAAGACAGAAGAAGAAGAAGAAAAAAAAAGCTCCCAGAGAGCTGCTCCTACGCAATCATGAAAGAAGAAGCCATTTTACCCGCTTTGGGGAAATGAGCCCGGCTGCCGGTGCTGGCTGAACACAGCTCCTCTGGCTTTCTGATAGAACTAGTGTTGTCCTCATTTTCTCCGTGCGCTTTTGGGCAAGGCGCCCACGGGCCATGGCGTGGGTAACCTCATCCTGGAAGAGCAGGGAAGCGCCGCACGCGGGAGCCAGGCGCGGCGGGGACGGCGAAAGGCTGAAGGCCATTCTGGGGTCTTCATTCGGGGCAAGAACGTTTCAGTGCGAAGCCACCACTGCTCGTGGGCAGCTCGAGATGCCGTACGCAACAGGTGAACCCAACACAAGAATGCATGCAACCAGAGGAAATCTTGTACAGCATCTTTTAGGCGGCTTGCCTTTATAATCGGCGACAAAAGTAAAGACACGCAAGAACATGCTTATGCGACCAATCTTTATTTTTAGGAGGAGATGTTAAAATCCTTTTATTTTTGTCCCGAAGCTGCTTTTAAGACATCATACAAATTCCATTTCGTTTTAGAAAAGGTATAAGCCTGCCCCATGCCTACTAAGAGCACAACATAACCTCATGTCAGGGGTAAGAAGCTAATCTTCTTCTAACGATAACAATCCCTTGGGTGGCTTGCCACCACCCAACTGAGCAGGCGTTTAAAACACCCAGACTTGAGGACTTGAGCATGGCTTGTCTAAGCTCACTCGACTACCCTGGGGCGCCGGCACAGCTGCCTGGCTGAAAACCTGCAGAAGTTTATATCCACTTTTAGAAATGCCTCTATCATCAGTCTTATTTAAAAGGGGAAACCTTGGCCACCGCGTTGGGGTGGGGTGGGGGG